GAAAACCCGGCATTTGAAATTTGTTCCAAACTACTTTTTCTGGCAAAAACATATCTTAAAGTCGTGGCTATATAATGCTGAAAACCGCAGGTGTTTGTCCCTTTCCAAAATAAAGGCATTCAGAAAACCACCAAGTACTTCGTTTTCCGAAACGGATAGTCGTCAGAAAATAATAGAGAATTCGCAATCGATCCCTACCTTTCCCAGATGGTGACCTGACCTAGTCCGAATATAAAAGAGAACACGCAACCGATGGTTACCTGAACTAGATGGTGACCCAGAATGCTCCGAATATAACAGAGAATTCGCAATCGATGCCTACCTGACCTGGATAGTGACCTAAACTCAAAATCTCAAAAATCTCAGACAGACCAAATATTTCAATACGCGGATTAGGCATACTGAACAAATATCTCAAATATCTCAAAAATCTCAGACAGACCAAATATCTCAATACGCGGATCACCCATACTGAGTATATATCTCAAATATGACACTACGCGTGTGCGGTGGATTAGATTAGAAGGTCGTCGTTCTCGTGTAGAGATGTTAAGATGAAAAATGTTTACGCGGCGTAAGAGTATTAGAGCACATCTCTCATTAACAGTTGCTATCATTTGCAAAATTGTGTTTGATTTGGTCTTAGAGTTGATATCATCAGAAAAAATTAAGACAGCAACAACATTTAAACTATCCGTGTACACCATAAACGTTAGAGAAACAACCATCGTATCAGTTCATCCATTTTTTTAACGTTCGCTTGACTGAGCGACAGGAAGGAATTATAGTCGAGACGAATGTTTCTGGGATACGCAAATAGAGTATTGTGATAATGCAGATCGTTTTTTGAGAATAATTTGTTTTCTTTGTACAATACGGAGCGCATTCAACTTCGATGAAAATAGCAGGTTTTTTATGTCCTGACTACCACCATATCAAAGGAGATAAGTTTCCTTCAGATAGTACTAAAAGTGTTTAAATTAGCTAAGGACGGAGGAAATACTTACACTGGTATCGAAGAAACGTTCGAGATGAATGCCCTCCTCAAAAATGGACCTACAAGAATAACAAGCATAGTCCCAGTATCGGCCAATAGATGCATTACTAATATCAACTCCATCATCACAGAACCAAGTGAAACCACTACGTCATCGTTATCGAATTAAAATTGTAATTAATCAGTAAAATTCCGTCAACTTGACTTTCACAACATGTTTACAGCAAATATCCTAATTTGACAGGATAATGTCTGAAAATGATATTAAAACTATATCCTTAAAAGATTAAGTAGACCGACTGCTCTTCAAAATATAGATAATCAAATGGCAAGAGCAAGTTTAACAGTAGAAGATCATTTTGAATTAGATTTGCTCGTTTAAAATGAAAATATTCTATAGTATTCCATGACAAACAGTAGCTTGATTTTTCTATAGAAAATCAATTAGATTCGTACTGTAATTAATACATAAATATTATTGAGTTCACCAATTTCACCAAATACAATCTTATATACAATAACGTTTTAAACAAATTCTATATATATGTACATTAATAACTAGTTCTATTTAATGCAAATTCTTCTTCTTGTAATAGTCGAGCTAATTGTTCATCATTCATTATATCATTATTCTCGTCTATAGTCTCATATAATTGTTCATTTAAATTCTAAATTAACAAAAAAATATGAGTGAATTTCAATGATAAATAGTAAATCATACGTATACCTGTTGTTTTAAATTGTGTTCATTATTACTCGTTAATAAAGTATGCTTAGCAGTTTTTTTCATCGCCTCATTTTGTAAATGCTTTGCCAGTTCAGCATCATTCTCTTCTCTAGAATTCAAAAGAGTATTATTACAAATATATATATATTTGTAAAACATTTACATTATCCGTTTTCCTTTATTAAAATCTAATTGTTTTGCCACATGTGCTTTTTCTTCTTCTTGTTGAACCTCTTTTGCAGTGCAAACACCTAGTCGACAATCACGACGTTGAGTACGATTACGATCAAAATGAACAGAAACTAGAATGAAAAAAAAAAGACATTATCTATCATTCACTGAGCAGATTGTGATCTTTTTATTTACATTCATCTTGTTGTAAACGATATGCCAGACCGTAATCGGATCCCGTTAGAAATTGTTGACATACTAAAAAAGAAAAGTATCTATTATTGTTGTAAACAGACATCATAAATATGACTTTTATGCGCTATAAAAGATATTCATCTGATATTACTCGACTTACGTGTTTTCTGCTGGCTTAGGAGGAGATTTCCTCAAGTATTCACTCACTTTTCCTATGAAATCTACTTGAATATACGTTATTTTCGATATTGATCACGAGTATGTTATCCAATTTGAGTAGATCTCTGAAAAACTGGTCTCTGGAGACCCGTTCTAAATTCTATGACCAAATTCTCGTTAATATTTCGCTCAGTTTTCATTGTCAAGGCTTTGACCTTTTTTTAAAAGATTCGTCGGTTCATTCTCTACAAAAAATATACTGAATATTTTTTTATATACCGCAGAAATAAAGGAAGATAGATGAAATACTGCGAAGTTTCAATTTCCATTACTTTCTAACCCAAAACACAACATTTATTAAGTAAAAACATACATATTTATTTTGAAGATGAAGCTATGCAATAAACTAGAATCTAAACGTATGTACTGATGCCACGAAGTGTCGTCTTTCTTGTCATGTATCAGAGGTTGTCTTTGAACATGTTCTTCTGATATAAAATGTAATTTTACTACAGTCTACCAAAAAAAGGAAAATTTCCACCTTTTCGCCTTGTCAGTGGAAATGTAATGGAGTTATCAAACTTCCTCTGTTCGAATGTAACAGAAGAATTAATATGGTTTAAGATAAGACATACCGAATCTCAAAATATTTGATTTTGGCCGATTTATAAAAATTTTCACAAATGCGATTATGAAGACTGTTAAACATAGCCAATTGGTAGAGCTTTTCAAAGGCTACAAAATGGTCATCTTCTCTTATTCTGTATGCAAAATACAAAGAGCTAGAATTGAAAAACTGTTTTTGGGTTCAAAAGTAATGGAAATTGAAACTTCGCAGTATTTCACCTATCTTCCTTTATTTCTGCGGCATATAAAAAAATATTCAATATGTTTTTTGTAGAGAATGAACTGACGAATCTTTTGAAAAAAGGTCAAAGCCTTGACAATGGAAACTGAGCGAAATATTAACGAAATACTGAGACCAATATTCTTTATGGCCTACCTGTTACTATGAATAGATAAGGTTGTAGAGAATCAAGATTTCCTTTTATCTATCTGTTCACTTTTTTGTATAATACTAAAATATCAGAGAGAAAGTCCATGGAAAGGACCTTGACGGTACCCGTTAATGTTGGTCTTCAAATTAACATGTCATAATACCTGGACTAGCAAAGTGAAATACTATGTAAAAGCGCTTAAAGACGAATATTTGTACCTTTTCACTTCTCATCGAACCATTAGAAGTCCAAAATAAGCAGAAATCGACTCTATAGTTTATAGGACACTCCCCACTTGGTAGATGTATAAATATGTGTTCAATTCAAATAAATATACTATCTATGTATGTAATAGGCCGTATTATACATACTTTGTTTTACTCGTCCATTATTGAGTTGTGATTTGTCTGGCTCAGAGGCTTCTGCTGTAGATAATTTATCATCATATTCTTCGATGTGATTTTTCATTTCAACCATATTTTTGATTTATTTAATGCAACAAAATATGTTCTTCTTTTATCTTATAACACACAAGGACACAATCAGCAAATAAACATAGAAGAAAATTATATATTCATGTATGTTGTTTGTCCCACTATTTTTCTCTTTATGATTTCTTTCTTACGCTTAATTGAATGTTGATGAAGGTATAGAATGGATGAATGAAGTGAAGAACTGAGTACAGGTGGTGTACACACTTACCTTTTTTGTGCGAGTGTTAAAACAGAACAAATATTGTACATATATTCATCAGAAGGCGTTCATCATATGAAAGAAAAAGAATCAGACGTAATCATCGTTATTCATTCAATTTTTCTTTTCTCTCCATTGTGAATGAACATACTAGATTTTTGAATAATCTGTCTGGTCATATGTTTAAACAAAAAAAAATTTCATTCAACCCATCATTCTCTTTGTATATCGAATAATGGTATTGATAACGGTAATGTTACCATACAGTCTTTATGTTATAGCTTCAATTACATGTTATGACAACTAACCGTACAAGGAACCGAATTGAAATTAAAAATGTTGTCTTTTCATCTTGATACATAATACACAAGGATTTCCATTTGATTCTATTTAATTGTAATATGCAAAATGTTGAAATGTTTCATTTGTTATTTACAGTGCCACATCCTTACCGGTTTTTAGAAATGCTTGACACTTGATTCAAATGCATGAATAAAAAAAAATATTTCTATACGAAATGGTAGATCTGTTTTATCAATCTAAGTTGATTTCACATTTCTAGAGAATAGTTTTTGTGCACCTCGAGGTGAAAACTGAGTTTTTTTGCGTTATGATGTAAAACATGAGTAAAAAGTAACTTAAAACTTTTCAGTTTTATATCAAAAAACGCAAAATTTAATTCTCTAACACCTGCACTATTCAGAAAAAAGAAAATCATGCTTTAGCAGTGTAAATAACGAAAAGATAAATTCGGTAGGAGTTGAACTTGGTAAGAGATCAGTTTTATATTTTTTTTTCCTGTACTGTCATTTTAATATGAAAAGTTGCACTATTAGTTTTTAACTAAATTATGAAAAATAAGTGAATTTTCTGAACAAATGCATCCTCAAGATAATCTCGCTTTTCTCCTCTAATAAATAATTACCAAGTAAAAAACGCGCTACACTGTGAAAAAATGAGTTCCATGTAAAGAACCAGAGGTGGACAAGTCCAAGTTCGGACTTGAAGATTTTTTTGACGGACTTGGCCTTGACTTGCGTTGGAAAATAGTCGGACTTGCCCACCTCTGTAACGAACTGATGTTGAGATTTCTAGAGAGCTAAAATCTTGATCTTTTAGAAAACTCAATTTTTTTGGAGTTCTTCATTTTTCTCGAAGATAAAGCTCAGATCATTACGGATTTTGATAGTAGATACGTTAAGCTATCGGCTAATGTGGTTAACTTTAGAAAAAATTTTAGACTTTTGACGGATAGGAGAGAGACAAGCTTAAACTAATGACAACATTTTCAAGAATCAGGATGGCTTGTCGAGAAATGGAGTGATAAAGAACACGTTGTGCTTGAATATCCTCAGATGTGTCATTTTGCTTCGCTTTTTTTTACTATCACAAATGGTCGACTTTACATATGACAGTAAAAGATTCTAATTATAGATGAAAGGTAGAGCATTTCAAGGTCTCACTTTTTCTGACTCTTCAGGTATAAAGAACTAAAATAAAAAAAACTATTTTTTTATGTTGGAAAGTTGGCTTCTACGCAGAGAGGCGTCATGCTGATAAAGAAGAAAGATGAGCGGAGGTATTTCTTAGAATACACACTGATCAATTCAGCTTTGATATCTACAGAATCTTAATTTCGAAAAATCGAATATCTATCCAGGTCTCAGTAAATTAGTTAGAAAACTTTTATGTGTTCTGGCTACATCGGCACCCATTGAGCGTATCTTTGATCAGACGAGAAAGAGCAGGTTTTACGAAAATCAACTTATCTCAACTGACATTGTTAAAATGTAATAGAAGTTTACTTTAGTAACTTTTTCTGTTACAACAAGATTGATGTATTAAATGGCACAGAAAAAAATACAATCATCAAAAAAGAATCTAAAAGATTATCGGACTCGAAATGGACCCGGCCTCTGTCCTTAACGTTAGGACTCGGACTCGGATTAAATTTTCAAAGACTTGAACTCGAGTCGGACTCGTTACTTTCCCCGACTGGCCCAACCCAGGCTATGAGTGAAGACTTAGATCGATCTCAACTTTCAAAGAATCACTCTGCGACGCTGTTTGTGGAACTTAGATTTTGACGATCTTGTAGTTCCAAGCGGTTAGATTCGCATCATGGAATTAGAATTCTGTTACTGTAACTTTTTCGTTACCATTTACCATACCATTACTATTATATAAATTATTTTTTACCATGTACATTACCATAGATGTAAATTATTTTACCATGATACTTTGTCATATTCCCACAGAAAACAAAGTAAAAACTTTAAAAATATACATAATGTAGAGAACAAAGGATATATAACAACAATACAAGAACAAAGGATCATGTACTAGTCTGTACAGTATATTACGTTTGACTACATTATATACACTAAAGAAAAAGCTAAGAGTGTACGACAACTAGATGCAAGCAATATTAAATCTGAAGACGAATATGATTTAGAAGAAACGAATTTTCTATTTTATTCTGCTGATATTTTTAACTTTTTCAATAAACGAGATTATATGATTATGAACTAAAATTTTCGAATTTGCGAATTAAAAAGTTTTTTTACCATTATCATTCCCATGGGAATGGAATTTTTTTATTACCGTAGGACTCTGCATGGAAATGCACCATAGTCGACTGTGAACTCTCAAATGTTAAACTAGCCAAAATAAAGAGCCTAAGCATGTTTATGGAGTACATTTTGTAATAGAAAATAGTCGCACAATAATATATGAAGAAAAGGATGGTGAAAGAATAACATGTTACGATCTTTTCAGGTTTTATGTGAGGAAAAAAACCATCGAGAAAAGCGTCATGAAAAAAGATTGAACTGGATAAAAAAGGTTTAACGGATGTTTTCTTTCTCACATAAAACCTGAAAAGACTGTAACATGTTATTCTTTCACCATCCTTTTCTTCATATATTATTGTACGAATATTTTCTTTTACAAAATTTCATGCTTTAGGCTCCTTATCTTGACTAGTTTAACATTTGTTAGTTAGACCCGCTACCATTTCTGGTGTAGGGTGAGAATAAAACATCAGGAAAAAATAACACAAAAAGAAAAGAGTGTTCAATTTGACGGAAGTAGTGTTCGTTTCTATTGAAAATTGAACTAAG